GCAACTTTGAAAAATTATTTTAGTATTACAACTTTTTAATACTTATTTTATTCGTTTAATTGAGAATATCTTTGTCGAATTTTTTACTTCAAATACAATTTTATGCTGATTAAGAACTTATATTAAGAATCGTATTGAAACGGGTCTGAAAATCAACAAAAAAATCTCTAATTCGATGTTGAAGTTTAAAAAAATTACACTAAAAAATGCTAATATTCGCCTTTTTTTTTTCATTCTTTGTTATAATTTATATTGTTTTACTTCAAATTACGTTTAATTTTTAAAATGCTGCAAAATATTTACATTTAAACCTTTTGAAATATTTTTGACAAAAAACTGCTATCACAGTTTAGGAGGGAGAGGGATTCATGTATATGTGATCGTTTGTGACAGGAGGGAAGGGGTTAAAAGTTGACAAATTTAGGGTGACGTGCTTTATAGATGACCCATAATAGTATTTACAAACGATTTATTTTACTAAAACAAAAACAAAATAAATTCTAACTGATTTTTTTATATTTGGAGAATAGCAAGTAAATCTTTTTTTTTTTAATGACTAAATACAAATAATTCTTATTTTTAAAATTCTTATTTTTATTTATTTATGTGTATTTATTTCAAATAAAATAAGAATATATAAACAAATAAAGAAGCAATAGTATAAATAATTTTAATCAACATTAAAAAAAAGATTTTTTTTTTAAATTCCTAATATAAAAGGTTCTAGTTAGAACCTTGTCAAAAAAATAATAATTACTTAATGACGTAATTCATTTTGTTAAGGAAAAAATGCTAGAACTTAAGTAAATATTTGTAGTTTTAACTTACGCTACACAAATTTAAAATAAAAATGTGCTCTAACTAAGCATCATTATTTAAAACTTTAAATGCAAAAACGTAAAATATAATATTCTTTTGCAAATAATATTAAAAAACTTTTCATAAAATTTAGTTTTTTAACTAAATTTTATAAAAAACAAAACTTTAGCATGTTTTTGTTAACTTATGTTACATGAAAATTGCAAAAGTTCATTCGTTATTTTCTTAAAATATATATATTTTATAAAGTATAAAATCTGACCAAAAAACAATTTGAAAATTTTAGCTCTATTTTCATGTTACTTTAATTCTGATTATGCAAATAAATTCATGGTTAGAATAACATTTTACAATGATACCTTTTTTATCATGCAACAATGAGAAAAATCGTAACTTTCGGAGGCATAAAAATGACTTAAATAAATTAATTTTGGTATTAAAGATATATTTTACATAAACTTTCATGTGCCTACATCAATATTCATTTGCTAAATGTTGACAAAAATAAGAATAAAATTTATTTTTTCATTTTCCGCCATGGAATTGCCCATATATAGATTAAGATAATTTTGGTAATAAAATATTTGGTAATAATCAATAGATTTTATCGCGCATTAAATATAAATGGAGAGGTTAGGCCACGCTCTTGACATTTCTAAAGCGTTTGATAAAGTTTGGCATGCTGGTTTTTTCCATAAGCTTTCTTCTTACAATGTATCTGGAAACATCTTTAAGATTATTGAATCTTTCCTTTCTAATCGTAGTATAAAAGTTGTCCTTAATGCACAGCACTATTCTTATTCTTTAACCTCAGGGGATCCTCAAGGTTCAATCCTTGGCCCTATACTCTTTTTAACTTACATTAATGATCTTCCAGAATTCTCACATCTAAGGTGGCATTGTTCGCTGATAATACTACCATTTATTCTTGTCATGATAAGAAGCCACCTCCCTATGATTGCTTGGAGGGGGCATTTGAGCTTGAAAAGGATCTCATTTCTGCTACAGCATGGGGCTTACAGTGGCTGGTGAACTTTAATTTAGATAAGACTCAATTTTTTTCAGCCAATCGTTATCAAGATCTTTCTTATACTTATGAACGGTAATGTACTTGATGAGTTATCTACCCTTCAACTTTTAGGATTAACTCTTACTTCTGATCTTTCTTAGAAACCATATATCAAATCCGTTGCAAAACTAGCATCTGCTAAAGTTGTATCTCTTTATCGAGCTTGACACTTTCTTACTCTGGATTCTATTCTTTATCTCTATAAATCTCAAATCCGGCCTTGTATGGAATACTGTTGCCATATCTGGGGCAGATCTTCTAATGATGCCTTTTCTCTTTTAAACAAGGTACAAAAACAAATTGTAAATATAGTTGGATCTGCTCTTGAAGCCAACCTTCAACCTCTGTCACATTGTCGTAATGTTGCTTCTCTTTCTCTTTTCTACAAATACTATAATGGGCACTGCTCTAAAGAGCAGTGCCCATTATAGTATTAGTATTTGAATTTTATATTTAGTCTCATACAAACAGTTAAATAAGTTATATAAATTGTTGAAATTATTACATGATAAATGGCCAAAAAATGAGAGTTGACTGTAGTATTGGTCAACATATTGTAGAAAAACGATCTGCAATACATTGTGGTAAAAAAAATATTTTATGGGTCAAACATCAAAAAAACTGAATTTTACTAGTTCAATAGTTTAGATAATTATAAAAAAGAAGAAAAAGCTGGAAGTGTGGTTATTTGAAAAGATCGGGACAAAGACAGAAGAATTACAATAACTAGTAAAAGAACTAAAAGCTCTAGAATTGGTTTATTTTTGAGGAGCTCCAACGTTCTGTTACAACGTTAAAGAGACAGTTGATTGAAGCAGGGCTTAACTAACAGAATAGATGCAAGAAAACTTTTTCCTTTGGCCTCAAAATATGAAAAAAAGACTGGAGTGTGAGTTACAATTAAGAAAAATGAACCATTAGTGACTGGAAACATGTTCTTTAGACAGACTAGTCAAAGTTTCAAAATTTTGGATCCAACAGAATATTGCTTGTCCAAAGAAAAATTGGTCAACTGATAATAAAACAAAGTCTAGTCTTATGGTTTGGAGCTGTTTTGGTGAAAATACTATAGATGAAATTCTATTCAGTACTTGAATGATCAAGTACTAAATAAAATAAATTGGCCTCCCCAATCACCAGATATCTCTCCTATTGAACTTTTATGGGATAAACTAAAAGAAATGTAAAAAAAACTAATACCTCATGATGCAAAGGTAATATGGTAAAAACTTAATAGTTAGTGGCATAAATTTGACTTCAACAAATTGGAGAAGTTGTTAGTTAGAATGCCAAGAAAATGAAAAGTGGTTATTGCCACCAATGGTAATTACATAGATAAGTGTAAATTCTAAATTAATTAAATTTGATATTTTATTTTTTATTACATTAACTTAATCATTAGTGAAATAGCTTATTTTTCTGGTTATTTCAGTTCCTCTCACAATAGCGATTAAAACTTTGATGACTTTGAAAAATTATTTTTGAATAATTATGGATGGTAGTATATATATATATATATATATATATATATATATATATATATATATATATATATATATATATATATATATATATATATATATATATATATATATATATATATATATACATATATATATATGAATATATATATATATAAATAAATATATATATATATATATATATATATATATATATATATATATATATGAATATATATATATATATATGAATATATATATATATATATATATATATATATATATATATATATATACATATATATATATATATATATATATATATGTATATATATATATATATATATATATATATATATATATATATATATATATATATATATATATATATATATATATATATATATATAGCAGTATAGACTATATAGAATTCCAGTAAGACTAGAATATTTTTCAAAACATTTCAGTTTTTAAATTTGCGTGGTTATTTAAAAAAACAATAAATTTAATTAGTTTCCTCAATTTAACTTATGCGTTTTGCAGTAATCTAACCTTAATTTTGTCAAACTAGATACCACAGAGTAGTTAAGAGCTATTTTTTACCACAAACGTTTAATATATGTATATACACACACCCATAGTTTAAGCTATAGGTGTGTATATATATATATATATATATATATATATATATATATATATATATATATATATATATACATATACATATATATATACATATACATATATATATATATATATATATATATATATATATATATATATATATATATATATATATATATATATATATATATATATATATATATATATATATATATATATATATATATATATGAGGTCAGCAAAAAATTGCCAACCTTGTTTTTTGGTAACCCCTTTGTGTAAAATTTTTACTGCATACCTCTAACAGTTGGAGGTCAACAGAAATTTTTTTTACACAAAAACATCATTTTTCCTATTTTCGAGGGTTGTATATATATATATATATATATATATATATATATATATATATATATATATATATATATATATATATATATATATATATATCCATATAGTGTAGTCGAAAGAGCGTTGTAAAAAAAGTCTCTTACGACTACAATTTTAATTACCTCGTCTCTTAAGCTGTATTTGATTGTCGTCGAAATTTTTTAAAAAACCGCAATTATAAGGATTAGAAAGTTTTTTTTTATTAGTGATGTTTTTGTTTTTATTTTATTAAAAAACATTTTTAAAACATGCGTAAATGTTGCTACATCGACTATCTTATAGCCTGACCCGCAACGGAGTGCTGCTACATCAACTGACAAATAGCCTGACTCGCAACGGAGTGCTGCTACATCGACTGACAAATAGCCTGACTCGCAAGGGAGTGCTGCTACATCGACTGAGTGCAAAAACATGCAAGAGTATATATATATATATATATATATATATATATATATATATATATATATATATATATATATAAAGAGTTAAGTTTGGCTTAGTCCTGTCTAGTTAAATTTCTTTTTTAATAGAAAAAACAAATATATTTTCAGAGTTATTGAACCATGATTACTTTGTAAGTCTCAATACAAAAATGTTGCGATATAGATATATAGAACAAATACTTTCTACTATCTTATTACCTTGGACCTTCTACCAATGCAAACACCTTTCGGAATTTTCCCCAAAAATCCTTCAATGATTTGTAATGCTCGAGCCATAATGTACAACCAAGTTGTATCTTTATTCTAGTGGTATTTACAATCTTTATTTTTCAACACAAACTTTACTTACTTAGAATTAAATACATATTAATTTTGCACATAATTTTAAAATAAAAGATAAAATACTAAGAAACTTAATAGCTAAACTTAACATGTTAATAAATATTTATAACTATTTTAATAATTTATTAAACAAAACTTAAAACAAAACTAAATATTACTAGAAATAAATGAGTGTAAAAAACTGGCAGTTCAAGTGATATAACATCAACATCCAAAGTAATAAAGTCAAGGGGATATTCATTTATTATAACATCTAAAAAAAAATTCTAAAAAAATCTAAAAAAATTTGAAGTATTAATGTATACACAATATAAAACACAAACAATTATTTAATCTCCCAATATTCATAAAAATTTAATAGAACATTGAAAAAGTTTACCCCCAAACACTCCTTCTTCTTCTAAGATTTTATCGCAGACATTTAACTAAAAAAAATTTAATGAACTCTTATAAAAAATTTAACAATTAAAACAACATATATACACACATACATACACATATATATATATATATATATATATATATATATATATATATATATATATATATATATATATATATATATATATATATATATATATATATATATATATATATATATAGCAGCCGTGGCGCAGTGGTTAGAGTTCTGGCTCAAAACCAAGAGGTCCGAGGTTCGCCGCCAGCTCCAGCCCAACAAGCGACATTAGTACGGAAGGAGGCGTGAACTTCCCGCTAAATGCTTTCCCGCGGTGCTCTATGATAAGACCGTAAGGACTTCTGGGAGCACCTAAATACATACAAAAAATATATATATATGTATATATATATATATATATATATATATATATATATATATATATATATATATATATATATATATATATATATATATATATATATATATATTAGGGTGTCCCAAAAAATAACTTTTTTAAAAATAATCTGCTCTCACCCTCTAAATGTGTTCTATCTAATACAAAAACACTAAATTTAAATTTTTTTTCAATAAAAAATAATTTAAATGGTTCCTCAAGACCATCGAATATTTAATGGGTCCCTAATATTTTCAAAAAAAAAGTTTTTAAAAATTATGTCAACCTGGTACTCAAATAAAGCGAAATTATTTAAAAATTTCAAAAATAATGTTCATTTCGGAAAAAACAATATGTAACGACATTTCCCATAAAATATACAATATTTGCCAAAACAAAAAACAATTTTCTGTAAAAAAATCGCCGATTTCGTTAATATATATATATATATATATATATATATATATATATATATATATATATATATATATATAATATATATATATAAAACTTTTTTTTTGAAAATATTAGGGACCCATTAAATATTCGAGGGTCTTGAGGGACCCTTCAAATTATTTGTTATTGAAAAAAAAATTAAACTTAGTGTTTTTGTATTAGATAGAACACATTTAGAGGGTGAGAGCAGATTATTTTTAAAAAAGTTGTTTTTGAGGACACCCTAATATATATATATATATATATATATATATATATATATATATATATATATATATATATATATATATATATATATATATATATATATATATGTAAAAATTAGAAGAAAATCACTTTTATCTATAAAGACTCATCAGAAATCAGCATTTCTGACAGTGTAAAATAAAAAAAAATTAGATAAATGATTTTCTACTAATTTATCATTGCTCTGTTTTTTTAAGAAACTCCACTTTGTAGAATACATTTAAAATTATTTGTGTTAATATATGTGTGTGTATATATGTGAATGTGCAATGCTGACCTTATTTCTATGTTTTATGGTAAGATCTTTGTATCAAATTTTATTTGCTGACTTGATGCTGAGCTCTAAAAGACTGAGATCAGCAAATTATTGCCAACCTCATTTATATACAATCCTATTTCTGAGGATTATATATAAATTTATATTTATATATATATATATATATATATATATATTATATATATATATATATATATATATATATATATATATATATATATATATAATACTCTTTTTTACATAGGAGGGCGCACCAGCTTAATAAGTTTAATAACTTTCAAAACTTTATCTTACTAAGTTTAATAATTTCACTCTCCTGCAAAAAACAGTATTTTTTAAGTCAGTCTATTCATACATAGATTGTAACTGCCAAAAATCAGTTGATAGACTCCTACAGATTTGATAGACTTTTATTATTTTAGTATGTCATCAGAGATGTTTCATGCACAGTTTAAAAAAACAATAAATTTAATTAGTTTCCTCAATTAAATTAATGAGTTTTTTAAGCTGACCTCATTTAATCAAATTAGATAAAAATGAGGTCATTTTTTCAAATTAGTCATAGAGTAGTTAAGTGCGGTTTTTATACAAAAACAATAAGTTTAAGACCTTTAATATTTCAAAAGATAAGTTTTAAAGTAATTTCAACTGCAATTAAAAACGTAAAATCAACAGCAAATAAAAACGTAACAAAAAGTAATTTTGAAAAAAAAAAAATAATAATTTAAGGAAGAGTCTAATTTAAAAATAAAAAACTTTGGTTTAAATGCTTATTATCAAGTAAATCAAACTCTTTAAAGAAACTCAAGTACAACATAAAAAAACTTATTGATGCTGCCAGTGTATGATTATGAATCCAATACAACAAAAAGTCAAAAACAAATCTGAAACTTTTCATTAATTATATTAATAAAAACAAACCTGAAACTTTTGAAACAGCAAAAAATAAATGAGCAAGGTTTTATTTTTTAATTAAGTATTCACACGAGAAAAAAACATGTTGAGTTACCATATTTCAAATTAAGATTAACTATAATAATCTATTATATGCAATCTATGGTAAGCAACCTAACTAATGAAGACTTGACTGCTGTAATAATTGCAAAACACCTACAAAACCTATATTACCCTCAACTCTATAGCCATGAAAGATAAATCTTGTCAAAAATGTCTGCTGTGTGGATAAACAATAGTTCATTTATGTAAGTTTTATATGCTATTTAAATTTATAACATATAGGTAGAATTAAATTTTAATTATGAAAACATTATTCTATTTAAAAAGCTTCTTAGATTTTTTGCTACTCTTTATATCCAATTAAAAAAAAAATTGTAAACTGGCAAATTCAATATGTATAAAACATGAACTATTCAAAATTGTATACAACAGCAGTTTTCATAAAGTTGTGCAAATTTATTTTAAATATTAAAAACAAATTGAAAGATAAAATTTTGTCAACATTCTTACAAAATGTTTTAATCTAATAACAATAAGTTAAAATGTTGTATTTGGAAAAATACTTTTTTGGGAGTAAAAACTAAGTAATATTTATGTGAGATATTCTTCATCTTGTCATTCTTCACACCATCTATATAAAAAATAAAAAAATTTATTTATCCTAAAATTAAAACCTACTCAAAAAAATATGCAACCATGGCCTACTCTACAACAGGTCTAAAAACTCTGAAAACAAAAATGGACCCCAATAAGAAGACAATTTTTACAAATGTTTACACATTTTACTGCTAATAAAATCAAAAACGTAAACTTTGTAATGTAAAAAAAATGTAAATTTTACATTTATTTTTACAAATTATTTTTTAAAAGAATATCTTTTAATAATACTCTAATGAAACCCTAGCATTTCGATTGCATGCAATTTTTTTTTGCAGTATTTTGCAATTGCTTCAAAAAAAGTAGTAAAAATAAGGAAAAGGAGGCAAACTAAATATGTTTGATATAATAATAATCATAATAATAATAATAATAATAAAAATAATAATAACAATAAAAGAGAAACTCTGGTCGTAAAAATTAACAGAATATTCTGCATTCTGTTATCAGGAAATCAGTTTTTTACAATCTCAAAACTAGATCGTCTTACAAAAGTTAATAATCTTTAAAAAGATCTTAATTTCATTAACTTTTGCAAGACAATCTAGTTCTAAGATTGTAAAAAACTTAAAAAAAAATAACATTATTTTAAAGATATTGATGATTTAAGAAGAGTTCATGATGGGTTCATGATGAAGATGATCTTTGCCAAGTTCTCCCGAGGCAAAAAATACATAATGTATAGTGACCGAAACTAAAATTAATTACTCTATATTAACTATATTAATTAGTCTACTTATTTTAGCAGAGAAATGATGAGGAAAACAAAACTTCTATGCTACAAATTTTGGAAGCAGACAACCTAACTCGTGACTCTTCTGCATGTTTGACACATTCTTTGTGTCTAGAATGTGTCAAACTTGCAGAACTTGTGCTGAGATTCTATTTTACTTGTATATAAATATAATTATATATATATATATATATATATATATATATATATATATATATATATATATATATATATATATATATATATATATACACATATAAATATATATATATATATATATATATATATATATATATATATACATATACACATATAAATATATATATATATATATTAAGTATTTTTGTTATGTAACTTATGTTACATTAGAAAAAAATGTCATCACTCTGAAAACAATTATAAAAAGCTAGATTCACTGGAAGTGGAATCGATCATCTCGTCAGCAACTCTTAAGACCATTACTGCCGAATTTGCTTAGAACAAATCATGGGAGCTGCAACCAAATTAAACCACATTTTTCAAAAGCTGAATGATTCAGCAACTGTAAAGGGCTAATTTAAATAACATTTACAAGACACAATACTTAGAGGATTACAACAGACAAATCTTTCTTTCAATGTTGAATGATTTCATTTTAAATGTTCTTATAACACAAGAACAAAACTCTCAAATAAAACTGATTATAAATAATTTTATTAATTTAAAATTTAAAAGTTTGCTACCAATCTAAATATCACACACACACACACACACACACACACACACACACACACACACACACACCACACACACACACACACACACACACACACACACACACACACACATACACACACACACACACACACACACACATACACACACACACACACACATACATACATATATATACACATATATATACATATGTATATATATATATATATATATATATATATATATATATATATATATATATATATATATATATATATATATATATATATATATATATATATATATATTAGGGTTTGGAAAATGTACCTGCTCAGATCTACCCAGACAAAATATGCGCATATCTGCGCATCAGACACTTTAACGGAAACAAAAATTTAAATTATCTGAATTAAATGTCTGAAATTATTTTTGCATAATTATCTACTTTTTACAAGTTTTTCATTATCTGTTTCTTTTTGGTTTGAGCTACATATAATCAATCAATATAAACTTTTGTGTTTCTTACTACAATTTAAAGTGATTTAGAATCAAGAAATCATGCATTTTCGTCATTCAAAATGTTTAAAATAGAAAACATCAAAATTTCAAATTATTTGACAAATCTTGTTCTACTGTTCAATAGTCCAAGGAAAGCATTGCAGCGCATAAAAGATCAACATGTCCAAACGCCATCGTTGAGGAAAAAAGATTTTCCAAGTTAAATTACGAATCGTCACATCTAATCAATGATTCTCAGCAACTTCCGTCTACACCTAATTCACAGATGCAGCGTATACATCCACCAATTGATGAAGAGCTCAAAAATGATATCCACACAAAGCTTGCTTATTTCTTTTACCGTACAGGTATATCATTTTGTTTAGTCAAATCGGATTTCGCTTATAATTATAAGTCGAAATGATCTGCTCATCGGCTGCAGCAGAAAAAGCTTGGTTGACCTTTCAATTTATTCACTTGCGAATAAGAAATTGTCATACGAATGAGAGAGTTGAAAAGCTGATATTCTTGAAAAAAAAAATTTTATATGTGAAATTGTAGACAACTGTAGACAATTTGTAGTATCTTAGAAATTTTCTAAATCATTTGAGATATCATGTATCACATAAAATCAAATTGAGTATGATTTGTATCAGGATCAATTGCATCTGTTAGAATGTCTATTAAACCCTTTGCTAAAATTTCCCTAATAAATGTGACTATGTAATGCTAGAATTCATGTATTGATTACAAAACAACCTTAAACTAGTTAATTTTAAATAACATCTCAATTTTGTCAAATATGAAGCAAACAACTGATAATTTTTAGACCTGCAGTAGAGTAACACATGTGTGTGACATAAGATATTCAACTTACTGACAACTAACTTCACACTTTCAGGATATGGTCGCAGTATAATCATTTTCCTAAGCATTGAAAATAAATTATTTTTTATAAAAACTTTGAAATATATATTTAAATTTTGAGCATTACCTTATTAATGAAAATACTGTGTACTTGTCAGTATATACTTACTGGGACTCTCCTCCATTTTCCCAATGATCGTGAAGTTTAAAGATTTTCTCCACACCTTGTTGCTTTAAAATCATCAAGCAATAAAAATTATTAAGTTATAAAATTCTATAAGTAGAAAATAAGAATTATTATTTATAAAAAAATTAAAAGACAGATAAGTTGAAATAACAGAGACAAATAAGACAAAAGCAGACCCGTAAATAGGATACACCTCCACTTATTTGATCAAGGGGTTTCATTAACTCTTCCTCTATAATTAGATCTTTTTTACCTTCCATCTAAAAAGGTTATAAAAAATTTGGTTAAAAAAAAGAACTTCGATCATCAAAACTATTAATTATATAAAAAAAAAACTTACTGAATGAAAATGATATGTCAATTGATCTTTTGAAAATCGGTTGAATATTGAAAGATCAGGTGAGCCCATGATTTCAACTATGATAACAGAGATAGCGTCTTTAATTCATTTATTAAGTACTATATACATTTTTCGATTGAATCAGTTTGACTAGAACTAATAAATAATTTTATCTAGAAAATAATCTTTAAAAACTTAATCATAAGAACAAATAGTCAAACTTTAACTTGTTTCTCCTTAAAGCTAGCTTGTTTTGAGGAGGCACACTGAAAAATTTATTTCGAATCTCAAGTTGATCAAAACACATTGAATCATAAAGAAAAACTCAAAACTTTTGTATGTTAATATTAGTGTAAATATAATTGTTTTGGTGAGCAAAAATGCTAAAAAATATCATGTTTATTCATTTTTAGACGAAAGAATAACAAAAAAACAAGTAGCAATAACAACAACAAAAACTAAAGTTTTACAAAACTTCATAAATAAATTTTATAAATAAATAGCACCTTCCTTCATCTTATTGACCATTACTATACTACTACCAGCTACGAGAAAATTGAATTTTTTGTTCATGACAAACATGTTAAAACATTAATTAAGTTATTTATTTACTACTATTGTATATATATATAATACATATAACATATTAAACAATTTTTATAGAAATATATTTTACAGTTTAATAAACTATTTTTCAATTTTATTAAAATAAATAGTTTTCGCTACAAATAAACCTTTTTTTATAAATATATTTAAATTTCAAACAAATATAAAAATATCGTTTTGAAATAAAACCAAGTCATAAAAATATCAAAATTTATAACATTTTACATATATACAAGTATATATATATATATATATATTTAAATATTTCTGACTATACTATGCAAACATTATTTTAACTTTTCAAAGAGAATTGAACATATCAGAAGAAGAACATATCAGCTATTGTGATTTTTCAAATACATTTGTAGGAAGAACTTTGATGCGAAAGTAGATTGTTTCCAAACGAATATCCAAGAATGGATTTTCTGTTACATCCTCAACAATTATTATGTAATCTCCTTAATTAAAATAATGTATACAAATTTAACTCTCATATAGTTTAAAAGCATTTAAACATTACTGAAGTTGACTTACCTGGTTTACAAAATTTTTTATTTAACGTGTCTTCTTTCTTTAACTCATTGAAAGCTTCTTTTTTTTTAGTATCATTACGTTTCTTTTCATGGAGATCAACCTTGTATGAAGGGGGAACGCTTGGTTTACGGTTTCTAAAAAGAAAAAAAATATATCAAAGCTGATTTAAATATGTCATTTTATAATGCAATGTAATTTTGTACCTATTAGTAGGCTGTGCTTCAACTTTATCTGGTGATAATGAAATAGAAGAACTTGCAGCAACAGCAATTGACAAAGGTGGCAGAAGTAACTTATTAAATGTGACTTTTCCATTGTTTGTTGCTTGGGGCTGAGGTGGCTTATTTTCAACTGTTTCAGCAATAGCAGCTATTCAATATATATATATATATATATATATATATATATATATATATATATATATATATATATATATATATATATATATATATATATATATATATATATATATATATATATATACAAGCATATGTTGGTAACGTTAATATTTCAAATTTATATACATAACAAGCTTCATTTATTACGCAGTGAAAAAATTCTTTAGACATAGAATTTTTTTTTTTGCAAAACCCGTGCCTTTTATAAAGCATTACAGTTTATTATCCAATTAATTAACTTTTTTTTATAAAAATGACTTAGTGTTTTTAATTTTAAACTTTCATACTTTTTTGTTCAACTGAACTAATTATGGAATGATGATATAAAATATATTAAAAAGACATCTTATATTAATCAATTTAAATACATTTGTATGTTTCTTTTTACAGAAATCATCTAATAATAATACTTATTTTTTATTTATTTGTTAAACCAACAATTAAATTCTTTTTTTGCAAAGAAAAAAATGTTATTTCATTAAAAAATTTAATAATTACATTTATTTTATATTAATTGTCTATTGTTTTTTACATTTATATTAACTGTCTATTGTTGTTAACATTAATTGTTCGTTGTCAAACAGACTCAAAAATTGAGGTGGAAAGAAAAAATTGTTGGCCTATGAAGATAAGTAAGATGTTGTAAAATATTTGATGTATTTTCCACTGCATCAATTTTTTGTATATTTTCAGATGCCTGCTATGGACAAAGCAAGAAATGAACATAATTTTGATGCTGCTTTCCTTGAAAAAGCAATAATTTAAAAATATGCTTATCACTATTACTTTCCCTGAATGAGCATTATTACCTTCCAGCAGAGAGAATAATTAGTACTGTTCAGCAGGATATTAAAAAATGTGAGCAGATCTTACAACCAGTTTTCCACAGGAAAGTGGGATTGCTGTGTTTGGTGTCACCCAGTGCGGTAAACTTTTTATGTCAACCCTATAGACTTTTACTAACAGGGGCAACGACACAGGTAAATCTTTTAGTCTTGACAAGAATTATTTGCGTGTAGTGATGAAAGTAGTAAAAAATAAAGAAATAGCAGAATTAATAATAAAGAATATCAAAACTTATAAACTATTAGCTAGCCCAAATGCAAAAATAAATTGCAATTGAGACAAATGTGTCTGAAGAGTGTGTGGCTTGCACCTTTACACTCTTCTAGCGACACCACTGCTACAGAGACATTTTAAGATGACATTTTTGTTGCAACAATGTTGCAACAAAAGTTGCAATAATTTTTATTCCATAAAAAATATTTCAACTTTTGTTGCAACATTCCTATTATCTGAACTTAGAGTATTTGTCAACACAGATACATTTAAAAAATATCTCCTGAATCTGAATCACACAATAGTTTTTATACTAAATGTTTTTATACTAAATCTGCCTATTTTGCTACAAATACATTGTTTCCAAGAAAGCTGACCTAAAACACAACAAAAATGACTTGTCAATAAATTTACTTTGTAAATGTGTATATATCACTTGGTATTATTTGGTCATATAACTTCATACTATGTTAACTTCTGATAAAACATTTATTTGATAGTGCAGTAGAATTAACAAACTGAATTAACTTATCAATCACTTGAACTTATTATTAAATAATAACCACTTACCAGTACTTGCAAATAGTGAAATAAAAGTAAACACATGTAAAAGTAAAATATTGAAAGCTCAGTAATTATGCAATATTAAACTTTATGACATTTAATGTATAACTATTAATGAACTTGTGTATTTTATTAATTAACGTAAGAAAACAGAATAGTAATAGATAAATACAGATCTGATTGGTGACACACAACAAAGATCCTGGTTAGAACTGGTACCCCACAGAGTATTTATCAATATGCTAGAAGCAATAACTCATTTTATTTAAGCTAATGATACAAAATTAAATCCAGCCATAAGAAATCCATAGAATAACCTTTCAAAATGACTTCGACACAGCTTTACTATTGGCTCAAGACATACCTTACTTTAATAATCAAATATATGTATGAAATTTATTAATCCAGTAATAGCTAATTATACCTTAAAAAACTTTGATATTGAAATTTATTTTGATGTTTTAGTCCATTAGTCCTGAAATATTTTTTACTGAAGTAGTATTAAGTACAAAGAAAAGTATAATAAAATCTACTTTTACATTGCATAAACAAAAGTATATATAAAAAGAGGTAAAGTTTTTTTTATAACAATTTATTTATAAAATAATACAATCTAGTATTTATACACATAGATTTATCTTGTATGTAAGATAAATTTATGTATATAAATTAATTTTACATACAAGATAAATTTATCTTATGATTAGATTATATTGGAATAAAATATGAGATGCATGAAACCATAAAACTACAACAAGAACATTTAAGAGCTACTTTCGATTTGCATAATAATATGACAGGAACATTTTAAAACCACCTTCAATTGCCATGTTACAAAATGAACTGCTAAAAGGTTAATAAAAGAAAAAATGCCACTCTTTGATATATGTGTTATAGCATATAAACCAATAAATATGTTACTTTAATTTTAATTATGTTGATGAACTTATAAATGTACTCTAAATGTCTTAAAACATTTTATCAACAACTAAAAAATATGGCTAATGTTAATTTAATGGTAAAAATGCCTAACTACACTAAATCTTAGGTTGTTTATTTAATGTTTATTCAAAGTATAACATATTGAAGTGTGCATTTCTATGAGACATCAAGCAAAAAGTAAATAAATAATAATTTATTTAATTTATTTTTACCATTTTATTATATAAAATAATTCAAAATTCAGCTTTCTAAAAGATTTTTGCAATAATAAAAAAAATTTTAAAAAAATATGGTTACTTGCATACTTTGAAAATTAGTTACCTTTTACAAAAGGTTTTGAGAAAAAAATTAATTAAAAATAGTGTTGCATCTAATATTTTGAAAACATTTTGTAAATAAATTCATTTAAACAGAAAACAACAACAACAACAAAAAAAAAAACAACAGAAAGACAAGTACTTGGTATTGTCTCCTTCTCACTCACTGGTATGAAATTATCTACCAAACATGTTTTAATCTAAAATTGTAAATAAAAACAGTAAAAACTAATACAATAAAGTTTATATCATTCAAAAAAATGAATAAAATTATTTTTTATTAATAAAAAAGCAATTATTTACAGGTGAAGTAACAACTTCTGAAGGCGAAGTACTCCTAATAACTTCTGTAACTAACGGATAAGTTTCCAGCTCAATGTTTCTTTAAAAAAAAAAAGTTTTTGAATAATAACCTTGCAACATTTAATAATGGAACAATTTAAACAATATTTAACAAAATTTTATTTATTGTTTAAATATAATACTTATCAGCATATGCCTTCCTGATAAAAAAAAACATTTATTTTAAATCTTGTATTTTTTTTATCAGACTGTTATCTATGTAAACGTACATTAACATTAAACAATATAAATGATTTCTTCCTAAAGAAAGAGGTTATGTAAAAATATATATATTCTAGGGTTAATAACACTTGTGGAATGGAGAACAGAAGATCTTGTTCAGTTGTCTTCAATTTCTTTAAAAATGCAAAAATAGCAATGCTTTAAAGTCCAAATTTTAAATTAAAATCCCAAAAGCCAGAAGACAGTTAAAAAAAATTGTTGTGAGATTTTCTCCAAAATTAAATATAGCTTGTCAATATATAGCCAAAGAAATTAAAATTTTTCTTAAATAAAATAGAATAAGGAATTTTTTTCACTATTTTTGTTATATTACCAGGTCAGCCAATAAGTTTCTAGAATCACACATAAATAGCGGTTTTAAAATTGGTACTACTTTTGAATGAATACGTGCAAAGTTTCGTATAGATTAGTGGATTAGTTTTATATTTAAAGCTGTTTAAAGTAGAAGTGTCACAGTGTTTTTCTAATATGGAAAAAATCAAGTATCGAGAAGTGATTGAATTCCTATTTTTGGAAGGTGTAGAATCAAAACAGATTCATGAACGATTGTTAAAAATGTATAAGGATTCTTCACCTTTACTTGCAACACTATATACTTGGGTTGCTGAGTTTAAACGTGGCCGTACAATTCTAGTAGACAATCCATAGGAAGGACGTCAAAAAAGTGCATCAACACCAGAAATCATAGCAAAAATACAGGATTTTGTTTTGGAAGACAGGCAATTGACTGTGGATGAGATAGTTGACACTGTACACATGTCACATCAGGCCTTTTTAAAAAGCGTTTTGCCTATTTGAGTTTTACGTACGTATTCACGATTTCACATACGCATTTTGCAATTTACATTACGCAAAAACTAATTTCAATAAGTTTATTTTAAACAGTCTTTTAAAACAGATTAAGTGGAAAACATTAAACTGTAATTTTTTGTTGTAAAAAAACATTTGTGGAATATTTTTTTTATTAGATAAAAAAACAGATAGATAACCTTTTTTATATTTTTTTCATTATTAAATTTGAATTAATTTTATTATTATTCATAGTTTTAGTAATTTATTTGATGAAATTTAATTAAAAAATTTTAAAACGCTTTGTTTTACAATTTTTTTTACTGATAAAATTTCCAAAATTTATTTTAAAGTAAAAAAAAAATTAATAAATTTAATTCAAGTAACTTTAAAATGTTCGCATTACATATAACTTCATTTTAATTTCAGTTAAGTTTCAGGTAAGTTCCAGTTCCAAATACTGGTCTAAATAATGCACTTTTGTAGTTAATAAATGAAGTCATACAAAAAAGTTCTTTCAAACTCGAGTTTAAATGTAGTTTGGGTTTTCCCTTTGCTGTTAAATTTTATGCAGTAGAATTTTTTTTATAAAACAAGCCAAACTTTAAACCAATTAAAAATAACACAATCAATAAATAAACTCTTTAAAAGCCTAATTTATTTTATTTTGTTTTAAAAACAAAACTAATACTTGTGCAATAGATGTAAAATACGTAAATTATACTGATATTTGTTAAAAACAAGTTCTGCTAATAACATCTTATAACCGGAATTTTTGGATTTAGTAAGAAATAGTAAAAATACCTTAGGTTTTATGGTACATAAAAATAAAATATTGTAATGGAAATAAAAAAAAACAAAGCCGAAAAGCGGTAATCTTTGTTTAATTGCAATTTTTAATTTAATTAAAATGGGGAAAACCCAACCTAACTGTGTAGAAGTACACTTTAATTCCTTTAAGAAAATCAACCATAAACAAGTGTCCACTCATTTAAAAAAAATAATCGGAAAAAGAATGTTTTAAAGAAAAAAAAAATTAAGTTTAAAGTTTAAACTGTATTTATAAAAGATTTTAAAACAAGAAAATTATTCTTTAATCAACTTTTAAATTTAATTTATAACTTTTTTTTATAACAATATTGTTTAATTTAAAGATATTTTATTTAAAAGACTTACAATAATTTCTAATGTGTTTTTGAATTGAATTACAATAAGATATTTTAAAATACGCAACTGGCGCAGTTAAATTTTATTAACGATGTAAATATCTTTTTTTAAGAAAGTTACATTAATTCAGGTTGCGCTGTTCTGTTAAGCATCAAAATTTCATAACAAGGCCTGTCACATGGTAGAGCACATAATATTTTAGTTGTGATTTTAGTTTTTGCTAATATCTTTAACATCTTAAAAACTTCAATTTTTAGTGTTGACTCTATTATAATTATGAGGATAATATAACTTTAAACACAGCGATTTTGTAGCAATGTGTCGCTAGCTAAATATCGTAGCATTGTTGCTGGCTACAAAATATCTACAAATCTATAGCAGGTTGATAGCTACATATCAAAATTTTTTAGACAACGATTTTATTACGATATGACACTAGCTACAATAGCCAGTGGGACTTTATCTTATTAAGCTAGCTGTCCTCATAGCCAAATAGCTGTCTTTATCTGTACAAATATCGATAGCTTTTCGCTTACTTAAAAAAGATAGCGATCCTCATGGCCAAATGGCTGTCTTTGTTGTTACGATTATAGCTAGCTATTCGCTAGCCGATTTCCCACCGGGTGTGTGCACAATGGGTGCCGCATTTGCTAACAATGCAACAAAAATACCTTTAAATGCAACTTTCTCAACAACATTTGGAGCGATTTCAAAAGGATAAAAAGAATTTTGTGAGCCGATTCATCACTATGAATGAGACTTAGGTCTACTACCATGATCCTAAATCAAAACAAGAGGATAAAGAGTGGATTCAGCCTGAACCTACGCCTCCAAAGCGAGTTTGTGTCCTGTCCAATTGCAACATCTTTCCTGGCTGCATCTTTCCTGGCTGCATCTTTTCTGGCCTTTCCTGGCATCTAATCTGGCTGTTCTCCTGTTTAAAAAACTACATGCGTGGACAACATTTTTCATCAAACGAAGAGGTAATAGCAGCTGTAGAGAGTTATTTTGCAGGCCTTCCGGAGAATCACTATAGGGATGGTTTTCACAAATTGGAGAAACGTTGGAATAAATGTATTAAGCTTCTGGGAGAATATACTGAATAATAATATGCATTTCAAGCCATAAAATTTTGTTTTTCATTTCTATTTTAGAAACTTATTGACTGGCCTGGTACCTTTATTATTAAATTTTGTTAATCTTTTATCTTTGTATTTTTTATAAAAAAAGTATATTGAAAATTAATACTTTTTTGATTGTTAATAAGAACAAATCATACAATTTGTATCTTTCAAAGTAAAAATTGAAAAATACACTGATTTAGGAGTAACAATTGTATATATTATTTTTTTGCCAAAATCACCAAATCATGTTATTTGTATATCTTTTTACTAAATCCGAAAAAAAGTTTATGATGCAATTGAAAATTAAGTTTATAAAAATATAAATTTAATATATAACGAATATTTACAGTAAAACGTACTCGTTTAAACTAAATATAAACTAGATACTAAAAGAATAATTTTACTAAAGCGTATAAGTTAATTTAAAGTATAAACTGAAAAAAAACGAGTGACTTGAATAAAACATATAAACTGAACAAAGTAGAAAATAAATATTAAACGACTTATTTTACTAATAACCGTTCAAATCAAACTAAATTAAAGTTAAAATAAATATTTGTACTAAAATATACAAGAAATAGTTATAATATAAATATAAAACCTAAGAATCGTATTAAATTGTTCGCTACAAGCCGAACAAAAATCTTTTACAAAAATCTTTTTGTAGCATAACATTGACGATTAATTAAAATTCGATAATAATAAAGTTTCTAACACGCTTCATTGAACAATAAGAAATGCAAAGTGCTTAAAACTATCTAAAACTATCTAAACTAAGTTTTTGTAAGTAATAACTAAAACATTAAGTCCAAAACAAACCTCATTTAATGAATAAAAATAATATTTTTTCTTCAAAATACTTTGGTAATTACCTAACTAAATACTTAACACTTCTACAAGTTAATTTTACAGTGTTAACGCTGTTTTATTTTATAATTAAATTTAAAGTTTTTTTATGAAGGATTATTGAAGATTTTTTAACTATGTGATATTTTTTTTATAATTACACAATTATAGCTCTTATTTTTCTTGATTATGTAGAGAATTAATTAAACCTTCAAAACAAACAAATTCTGTGTCTAGAATGGAAATTTATGTACTAAACAAGACAAATTGTAAAGCATACTCGAAAGCCGCTACCAGTGGCTTGCAGTAGTGAAAGAGTTAAACCATAACTAAATGTAAATTAAACATAAAACAAACAACTTTTTTGAACCATATAAACTAAATATAAAATGAAAAACCACATCATACTGCATTTTTTCTCTGCCTGACAGCTCTAATAATCACAACATATGTATAATTGTGTCATGATTTTGGCTGGCTTCTACAACATAAATAAATAATAAACATAAAACAATTTCTTGCAATAATAAATAGCCGTTTGTTCTCAAGAGAGTTGTTCTTTTGAAAAAGATGAAAAAAATGATTACGATTGGATATAGCAGCCGCACAAGAAGGAGAAAACCATGGAGTAGAATGAGGCTTGACTTGAAACCGACGAGAAGGAATAAAAGCTTCCATTCCAGCCTGAATCCAGGAGGTTATGTAGGAGGCGCATTTGTCAGCTGAGAGAGAAAAAACATCAGCCCAAGGACCATCACAAAGAAAATCACGAAAGGAATCCCAGTCAGCTTTAGGGTAGTAGTAGGTGGTGCGATGATAAGGTGAGCCCAAAAAAGAAGTACGAGAAGAAAGATTTATAGAGATCATTGCATGGTCAGAACCACCTAAGGGAGAAAAGGGAGAAACTGAACATAAGCTAGGGTCAGAGACAAGACATAAGTCAAGGAGTGAAGGTAAATGATTAGGGTTGTCAGGAAAACGAGTCACAAAGTTAACTATCTGAGTAAGAGATTGAGAAACGCAGAAGTTAAAGGCTTTAGTGCCAGCAGGATCAGTGGTGTTAGAGCCAAGCCATTCAGTGTGATGGGCATTAAAATCACCAACAACAACAATATTGGCAGAGGGGTTAAGAGAGAGGGCATGGTCAATTTGATCAGAGATAACATCTAAGAGAGTGCAATCATGGGAAGAAGGAGAACGATAAAGAACAAAGAGAAAGGTGATAGAGTGAAGAGGTGCTAGGCGAAAGCAAATAAAAGAATGGTCAAAGGATTCGAACCTGATTTCACGACAAATAGGGAAATTAATGCGTATGTATACCCCTAAACCTAGCATGTGAATATTTGAGTCTTTACGAATCAAAGGATAGTACCCATCAACACTGAAGAAGGAATTGCAGAATTTAAATTTGTTTCACTGAGTGCAAGCAAGTCTGGTGAGTTTTGCAGGAGGTAAGACTCAACTGATGGAAAGTTGCTTCGTAGACCGCGAATATTTGTAAAAGATATATTAAAATATTTAGGTGGTGGGGATGGTTTTTTAGGTTTAAAATTTTTGGTTACTTTGGTCATGATTTGGGTTTAATGAGAACTTGACTCATTCATAAATAGAGCACATCCTTCTAATCAATGAGCTATGCAGTTGTCTCAGTCCTGTTAATTAACCCTAAGCCGTAACATAGGGCTCCTTATGTGGCCTTGACAATGCACACCAAAAGCATTAACAGGGACACCATCCATGCGCAACATGGCACTGTTAATACTCTGATATTTTACAGCAGTTGATGGAATCAGCCTCTCTGAGAGCTACCACAGAGTTCAGGAAACCTTACTACCAGCCAGCCTCAGAACCATTAAACTGAGTTTTAGAGCTGTACCCTCATATGGAGATAACAGGAAGAATTGCATAGCCATTATCAAGGAGGGATAAGCAAAATTCTATGAGTAGAGTCAAGGAGATCCAGCATTCATCATCCTAGGTAGGAAACAATGTAACACAGGTTACATATACGCCAGCCTAATAGATGAAGAAGGGGTTCGAGGCTGGTTAGCAGAATTTTTCTGCTTAACCCTAAAGTCTTTGCCTAGGAGGCCTTCTACAAGACAGTAGCTGGATGCAGTTAACATCTGCCCAAGATGAGTATTTTTATCGAGACACCATCTCTAGCCTTTACTCAACCAAGAGCCCCAAGGCAGGGAATGTTTAGCTGGATGCAGTTAACATCTGCCCAAGATGAGTGTTTTTATCGAGACACCATCTCTAGCCTTTACTCAACCAAGAGCCCCAAGGTAGGGGATGTTTAGCTGGATGCAGGTAACATCTGCCCAAGATGAGTGTTTTTATCGAGACACCATCTCTAGCCTTTACTCAACCAAGAGCCCCAAGGCAGGGGAATTTTTAGTCGGAGTTTATTTCTCCTAGCCTTTGCATAAGAAGAGCACACTCTGCAAGGCAGCAGAGCTTGTGGCAGGTGGTACTGGGTTACGTAGCAAGATTGATCTCAATTATCCTGACCTGACCTGGAGTAGTTAAAAGGAGTTACTTCCCACAACAGTACTTTGAGAAAACCAGGCATGACATTTTGGAAGTGCATTAGGAAAAACACTTCATCTAACAAAATACAGGAGTCTAAGGTGAGTATAGGTTTTGTAGTTGGAGCAAGTAGATAGTTACTGAGCTCACGCTGCATTAGAGTATAAACAGAACACAAACAAACTTAAATAAACATAAATCAACCTACGGGTGAGTCAACCCCGCGCTAGAGGTTCAGACAGAACACAAACATACATAAAAAACATAAAGTAACTTACCGGTGAACAAACACCGCGCCAGAGGTTCAGACAGAACACAAACATACATAAAAAAACATAAAAAACATAAACATAAACATAAAGTAACTTACGGGTGAGCGAACACCACGCCAGAGGTTCAGACAGAACACAGACATACATAAAGAACATAAAGTAACTTACAGGTAAGCGAACACCGCACCAGAGGTTCAGACAGAACACAAACATACATATAACGTAGATTACAGGTGAGCTAATACAGTAACTAAGGCACCTCCAACTATATCAGGAAAAAAAAAAAAAAAAAAAATTTACTATAGGCATGACTGATATAAAATAGTACTGATGACAGGAAGAACACTCCATCCAGCCTTTGATATATATATATATATATATATATATATATATATATATATATATATATATATATATATATATATATATATATATATATATATATATATATATATATATATATATATATATATATTTGTATATTTTTTTACTAAATTACAAATATTTTTTGTGATTTAGTAAAAATTATACAAATATTTAATTTTCTGATTGTAGTAGAAAAACTTTTATAACAACAACAAAAAAACGCTATTTTAAACAGATATTGCGATGACGCCATATACTGAAACTGTTATGAAATAACACGCATTGAATAAATTATCAAGTCTGCAGATTGCGGCTAACATTATACAGACCCCAAGAACAAACAAAAAATGAAGAAGGCGAGCTTTGACTAAAACATTAATTTTAATTTTGTTGGTATGCATTCATTATTTAGTTTCAATCAAAAAAATTTAGCCCAAATGTTTTTTTTAAACATTTTCTTTAATATGAACACAACTTGTCTCGGCAGTTGGGGATCCTTTTAAGCAATATTTTTTAAGAAATTTAAACATCTTAAAAATTTACTTAGATTGAAAAAATAAAAATAAAAAAATAAATTGTTTATCATTCTTACTCATTCCCTATTTTTGCTAAGATTCTTGTTGATTCTTTGGGAGCAGGGATGCCAAGTTTATTAACCGCTAAAACACCAGCACTCACTTTCAATAATCTTCCACATTCTACAATATTGTCAATAAATCTTGACTATATTATATAAAGAACAAAGCATGTTAAAGAGTGTAATCTTAATAATAAATAACTTTATAATATAATAATGAAATTTTTTTGAAAATAATGTTGCTATGGTTACAGTCAACTATAAATTTAACAAAGGTATACTATAAATATAAATCACACCAAACATTAAACCCTAAACCATCACCTAATAGATTTTTAAGTTGCTTCTATACAAATGCTACATCTTTTAACCAAAACAAATTTCTTGAACTTTCAATAGCTGTACTAACTATAAATATGATATCATTTTTATCACAGAGATCTGGTTTAACAATTTTTCAGCCCCATCTCTTCTGAACTATATTATTTTCAGAAAAGACTGATCTATTCATAGGCTTGGTATTGCAATTCATTAAATATTGTAGTCTCACAGCAAGTGAAATCATAAATTTTAAAAGATTAGCTGTAAAACATCCAGAACAACTTTGCTCAAACTCACTTTGAATTACAAAAACTTTTCTTATTGGTTGTATTAAGTGCCAACCAACTAGCAGAATGAAATCTTTTAATAAAATCACAAACATCGTTTTGTATGCCAAATTGTTTATTGGTGATTTCAACTTCCTGAACATAAAACTGTCAATAATATAAACATAGTGTTCACCTTCTGGTAAACTTTGTACCGATAATGCTTTGATTGTCAACACACTGAACAAAGTACTACAATACATCTTTATTATTGAGCACATCTGCTTCTCTTTTTAACATTTTGTTTAATTATAAAGCTGTTCAAAAACACCTTGAGGCATTTGACTGTTATAAATCTACTGGAGAAGATAGATACTGGAGAAGAAGTCCATACGTTCTATAAACAAGCGACAGTGCAATAACATCTTTGCTTGCCATGATTTACCTCATGTCAATTAAACAAGCAACTGTACTAAAAGCAATACTTGTTGCTAATGTAACTCTATTGTTCAAAAACAGATCCAGGACTGACCCAACAAAATATAGACTGATTTCAATTACTTCTTTATCTTGTAAAATAATGGAAAAAATGGTTAAAGTTAAAGTTATGCATCACCTAATACCTAATGATCTTCTTTCATAATGTCAACACGGATTAGTCAGCAAAAAATCCCACATGACAAATTTACTTGATTACTATAGATTTTTTAACCTATACTGCCGCACAAGAGTTACCTGTAGATGCTCTATTTCTTGATTTTGCAAAAGCATTCAACAAAGCTCCTCACAAAAAGTTACTAAAAAAGCTTAAATTGTATGGGATTAATGGCAATGACTTCAAGTGCCTTAATTTTCGACAGAACACAAAATATCGTCCTCGGAAATGTTGCATCCAATTGGGAACAGGTTATTAGTGGCGTTCCTCAGGGATCAGTTCTTGGTCCAAACCTATCTATAGTCTATATATATAACCTAGTCTATATATATAACCTATATATATGACCTATCTATAGTCTATAATATATCTATATTAGTGATTTATTAGAACACATCAGCAGTAAAAATCATTGCAAAATGTATGCAGATGACACAAAGGTCTTTAGTGTAGTTAACACTTTAAAAAGCAAGTTTTGTCTGACATTTTCAATGAGGTCAAATATGGCTCATGCAACTTAACATCAAAAAATGTTATGCATATTTACTAATCCAGATCTGTCCCCCACAACTATTTCATTTATGATAACAACTCCAACAATGAAGTCAAAAGAATCAAGTTAGATACAATAACAATGGAATATGACCTTATTGTTTACCTCTTTGACGATCTAAAGTACAATAATCAAGCGCTCACTGCTGCTGCTAAAACTAATAAAATCTTAGGTATGTTAAAGCACACCATCGTCAGCAAAGATATATAAGTCTGGAAAAACCTACGAACAACTTATGTATGTTCACATCTAGAATATTCTGGGACAGCCTGGTACCCTCATCTAAAATAAGACTACTAAAATTTAAAAAAATACTCCAATAATTAAAACACCTTGATTCCAAGACAAGATGTGCTAAACTTGGACTAACTTCACTAAGTAACTGAAGAAAACATGGTGACCCTATCTAAAAATTCAAAATTGAAAACAAAACTGATTTAATCAAGTGGCATACTGACCCAAAATTATTCCTTCCCATCTATGGTCATTGCAAACACTTTTTACCACAGTGCCTCGTTTTCCGTGGCTGTAATACTGCAGCTATATGAGCTAGCTAATGATAAGTTTATGATTCATTCTGTTCTGTGTAACTTTAATTGTGTGCATATATGTGTACACCACAATTGTAACATTATATTACATATTATATATATATATATATATATATATATATATATATATATATATATATATATATATATATATATATATATATATATATATATATATTCATTATCTTAACTACTGCTAATTTTTAAAACTCTTGGACAGTATGTAGGAATGTGCTTTGATATTACAGCAAGTATTACAAGACAACACAGTTGAACTTGTCAGCTTTTGGAGAATGCTTCGAATCAAAATCTTCTATGGTGGCAAGACACCAGATATATGAATTTTTTCTTGACTGATGTATTCACTGTCTATTTTGGACTATCAAGTGGGCCTGAAGCCATCTTCATGAAGCACTTCCTTTATATTGGAAATGCTTAATGAAGATGAAAATTATCAAGAATTTTTGCAGCAAGATGGGGTTGAAAATTGGGGCCAGATGGTAGTCAAGACACTGTACACTGAAGATTGAGATGTTATACAAACATAATAAAATCATTCTTCAGCTGACAGGTCATGAACTTCAATCCACTCAGCATTTCAAGAGATTTGTTGTAGAAGTCTAGACACATACATGAATTTCATGCAAAAAAAAAACTGTGGATACATCCAGTTATGAAATACAGCACAAATTACCTCAATAATAACTTAAACAGCTTATTCATCTGTCATTACTTTTCTTATAACCAAACCATTATGAACCAATCAGAACCTTTTACAAGCGTGTGTATATACTACATCAAACCATTATGGTCGATCTTTAACATGTCTTCATAGCTAATGTAATTTGAAACAAGATCCCCATCAGGTTGATGTAACTAATTAATTGAGATTTTTACACAGCTTTACTTAAAGATTGATCAACTTCGACAAAGCTATAAGAAAGATTGCTTAGAAAATGGTGGCTTCACATTCCTGGTAAGAAATTTCAACCTGTAATGGACTTATCTTTATTGCAGTTTTTTTATACTTAGTCTGCAGTTATTAAATTGAGTTGAATCAAAAATCACTTTTTTATGTTGTCATTTTTATGCAGAGTTTTGTCAATTTTCAGGGTCTCTGAGGAACCACTAAAATATTCCTATCAATCAAAAATAAATGTTATAGTGCAATAAATCATCAAAAAGAAACTATTTAGATGGTGGCCATATTTTAAAGGTAATCTTAAAGCCATACATTTTAAAGGTAATCTTTTTCTGTGACACCCTAATTTGAAGCAAATTTTATAGAAAAAATAAAATTTAAAACTACATAAGATACCAAGCTATGTAAAATTCAAAGAAAATTTCATAATTTATTATTGTAATAACTTTAGATTTAATAGCTAATAATTATTAACTCTAATTATTACTACAACAATTACCATTTGTAACTGCTTGTTTGTCAGTTAAACATGTGATACTAAGAGAAAATGGACTAGAGTCTTGAAAAATCGTCAATGGCTCATCTTCATCAAATAACATCTTACATGGCTCCACTGATTAAATATAAAATTAAGATTCATCAAACATTTTTTCTTTTGTAAGTCAAATTCAACTTAAAAAACTAATATAGTTAACAGCTGAAATTTATAATTTAATAGTATTGCAGGTCATACTATGGATTGCTACAGTATTTTTAACAAATATATATTATGAAATTTGTGTTAATATGCAAAGTACATATTAACTATTATAAATAAAAATAAACAAAAAACAATCTAATATATAATTTTTTAACTTCATTTTTAAATGTTTTTTTTTTTAGGTAACATTGAATTAAATTGTATGTAAATATCAAAATAATACAAGCTTTAGTTTTCTATAATCATAAAACTTAATAATTCTTCATGATTAGTCTTAACAATTTAAAACCTTCATTTCAAGATAATGGGTAATTAAATTATGAAATATTTAAAAAATATGTATTTTTTTACTATTTAATATAAAAAACCACTAAGCTTTAAACTGGTGTATTTATCAGACAAATTTTTTATTCTTTTCAATCTAGCCTATATTAAAATTAAAATAATTTTAATATAGGCTATTCTTTTTGCTTGAATTAAAAAATTTTATCCCAAATTATTATTTTTTTAAATATATTTTATAAACAGCCATACATAATGGTCTTCCATTAATCCATAATCCATTATAATAAATTCCTGAAGAGTGAGTCATAATTCCTTCCCCATGAAATTGATTACAACGCCATTGACCCTGAAAAATTAAAAGAATAAAATTGAAATATATAAATTATACAATTTAACTGTGTACACAAACACACCCAAACTAACCCTGACAATATATATATGTGTGTATATATATATATATATATATATATATATATATATATATATATATATATATATATATATATATATATATATATAATACACATTTATATATATGTTTGTATAAAACTTTGAAATTCAAATATAATATTGATACAGACTTCATACAAACTACCATCTTGATACTGATATATGCCATGCCCATGCCTCATACCATTTACCCATTCACCAATAAACTCTTCTCCATTGCTATTTATAAAAGAATAATATATTTTCTGTAAGTAATGTTGTAACGAATTGCTTAAAAATTTATTTTAAATTTAACAAACAACCTGAACATCAGTCTTCCTTCTCCATGAGGTTTATTCAAATGAAATGCTCCACTATAAACACTTCCATCTGCATACCTAAGTTTACCATTACCTGTAATATTATTGTAATATTATTATTAAATTGTATATTAATACACAACTCACAACAATACATTTTATAAAAAAACATCATTACATAAAAATTGTCAGCTCACATCCTTTAGCAAAGGTAAATCAAAAGTTATACAAAAACTTTGAAAAATTTTAATAAATTTTAATAGAATCTTGAGAAAAATAATATTATAAAAATATCACCAAAAAAAAAATTTAATATAAAAAAGCTATGAAAAAATTAATTTCTTTATTCAATTTTAAAAACAATACCATTTATTTTGTGAAGATTACTAACAATACACAGGACTTCAATATACAAACATTATATAAATGTATATAGTATTATATCATTTTATGTTAAATGTACTGTAA